TAAATAATCGAGTCTGGACCAGACACTACAGTGATCAACAACATGAGCACCGATATGCGCAATTGGGACTGACTGACTGACTGAGTTTGGTTTTACGCCGCTTTTAGCAATATTCCAGCAACATCACGGCGGGGAACACCAGAAAGCGCAATTGGGATACGGTGACATGTGTCAACCAAGTCAGCGAGCCTGACCACCCGATAGTCGCCTCTTACGATGGGTTACTGAAGATCACATCAAAGTTGCATTGTGGAAGTTTAGTACTAGATACGGGTGTCTAAATAAAAAGTCTACGATTACAGTTTTTTTTTCAGACTGGCCTCAGTTAATAAACGCGTGCGTGACTAGAATTCAACAGACAAAAAATAATATTTAAAACATAATAAGAGCCACCATCGTGGCCGAAGTGCCCAACACCCTGAACCATTGGTTTAAATCAATTTTGTATCGATGCAATCAAAAAGCTATCGAGAGAGAGAGATTCTGCGCATGCTACTAACAAGAGATATCGCGTAACTTACGAAACGAAATTGCGATGATGAATAGGTATCGGGTATTTATTCTGATAGATCCGGGTGAGTTGGATTTAACACCGTATTTCAACTGTATTCCAGTTAGGGACCGTCGCGAAAGTTCGCGGTAAGCTTGACGTAATTTCTCTGATGCAGACTGACTGACTGACTGAGTTTAGTTTTACGCCGCTTTTAGCAATATTCCAGCAATATCACGGCGGGGGACACCAGAAATGGGCTTAACACATTGTGCCCATGTGGGGAATCGAACCCGGGTCTTCGGCGTGACGACTGACTGACTGACTGACTGAGTTTGGTTTTACGCCGCTTTTAGCAATAGTCCAGCAACACCACGGCGGGGGACACCAGAAATGGGCTTCACACATTGTGCCCATGTGGGGATTCGAACCCGGGTCTTCGGCGTGACGAGCTAACGCTTTAACCATTAGGCTACCCCACCGCCCCCTCTGATGCAGAGGTTGAGTGTTCAACTATCCAATTAATGTGACATTTCTGTAATTGTGTGATCGAATGAACATAATTTTAACCATCCGTCGTAATTGCTACGTTTGAGTAGCGTTTTACCTTGAAACCTCAAGAGACATTATGTATTTGCCCTCAAGTATAAGACCCTTTAATATTTCATGTCTGGGCCATGTGGAGCGTACGCACTGAAACTCTATACAGGGTCGTTACATGATAGCGTGTGAATTGGAGTCACTTGAGTTGCCGTGTTGAGTTTCAGCTGACAGATCGTCCTGGTTAAAACAATCCGAATATCTCCATGCAGCGATATCACCTACAACAGCGGCATTATCCATACTTGCCTGGTGGTGCTGCGAGATTCAAGTCGGGAGTGATCAATTCCCTTGTCACTGCTTGGCGTCACTTGTTGCATTATAATGGTGAAACATCTATTAATATCTTATTACCAAGTGCATTAATCTACCATGGTATGCGGGTGGCAAACTCTTGATGGAGTTTTTCTGTTAGGTTGAGCGAACTTTTGAGACGGTCCCTTACACCAGGCAGTCAAGCCAACACAGACATAGAGCATTGGCAGGGGCGTAGCTACCATATTGAAAAAAAGTTCGGGCTTACACATGATTGTTGCTAAAAAGGTTGGGCAAGCTCTCAATACTATCTGAATATAAATCTTTCCAACCTATCGGACTTACACGAAAAAAATGGGCTTGCTACGCGCCTGACTGGATAATCAACGAGGAAAAGCGATGAAGATTACAATTTGCAAAGCTAAATGTATGGTGCAGACGAAACCAGAACCATATTTAGTGTAAATCTGTGAATAGAACCCAATATAAGTGTATGAGATGTGCTAAAGGGCACAGTACACAATGAACACTGCAGTGACTATCAAGATGTCAAGGCACATACATCAGCATGTGTAACTCGAATTTTACAATATTTTAAAATATAATCAACATCGTGCAGAAAAAAGCTCTGTGAATGTACAGTGAAACAATGTTAAAATATATTTTTTCCAGAATAATAAATGTTAGGTTTATCGTACTACAATAATCCACAACTCAAAACAAAGTTGATTATACCACAGGCAAACTGTAGCGCAAATAGGGTTGCGCAACAGAGAGCAAAATGACCAGGGCCTAGATTTTCGAAGCACTCTTAGCGCTAAGATAGTCGGAAGTACCATGCATTAACATTAACTTACGACTATCTTAGCGCTAAGAGAGCTTCGAAAATCTAGGCCCTGGGCCCCGTTCCTCAAAGCGATCGTAGCGCTACGACAGTCGTAAGTTTATGTTAAAGTATGGGGGTTACGACCATCTTAACGCTACGATCCGTTTGAGGAACTGGGCCCTGGGTCCCGTTTCACAAAGCTCTCGTAAATTTTCTCGTAGCAATCGTACCTCCTACACTGTAACATTGACTTACGATAGTTGTAGCGCTACGAGTGCTTTGTGAAACGGGGTCCAGTCTTCCAATATGTTAAAGCTGGGCCCCGTCTCGCATATCGCAATATACACTTTGACGCAAGTTCGTGCGCGCAAAGGGAGCCGGGAACCATCTTATCAATATGTGAGCAAGCATATAGGAAGACTGGTCATTCTTCTTTCTGTTGCGCAACCCTAATTTGCCCTACAGTTTGCCTGTGACTATACCAACCATGACAGATTACCTGTAGTCATTCAGCTTCTTTAGAGTAATGCATCTTGTTACAATATATTGAACACAGTTTGAATATTGACAGCAAGTTCTCTATTGACCAGTAATGTGTAAATAGAAAAAAAGGTTATTTAAAACATTAACAATATCAATAATTGTGAAGGAAAGGTTTAAATTGCACCAAAGTGCTCTAAGTCTGGTATTGATACAAATATAGAGATTTCATTTACTGGGAAAATGAATAGGGAATTTTTTTTTCACAGGGAAATCTTTACATTTGTTCATGTTATATACAATACATATCTCCAGTAATCTTTTTGAACAATGGAATATTGGTTGTTATCATGACAAATGTCATGTCTTCATGGATTGTGTCATGATGTTAGATAAAACGGTAACATCAGAAAACTGTGTATTTAAGTCTGAGTTCTGTTGTGTTAACAAATACAGGTGAAAATACAAGAAACTTTAACTCTCTGTTTTGTCTCTGCCAAACTAAATATGGTTGCCTCGATGATTTATTTCAATAATTGGCACTAAACACAAAGTTTGATATCATGCTTTGTAATAGGAAATTTTCTTAAGTAGTGCAGGAATAATAAAAGTTACAGAATCCACTTCCCTTTGTTCAAAGGTAATAATATATTGAAATGTAACAGCAGTGGTATATTCATAACTGAACTTATACTGAAAAAACATTCATCCTCATCATCAGAGAGACATAAATGAACATTCACTGGGAGAACTGGTTGTTTATGTAAAGTCAAACAAAAAATATATATGTGTCTTGGTTAATTATTGACCAGATACGGTAGGGCTCTTCTGTTTCTGTTTTCTTAATGTATGGTTTTAGGTAAAATGTTTGTCAATTATTGTATGTGTAACTAGTCACTGTTACAATATTATTCCGGAATATATGCATATTTAAATATATTGTCTTAACAGCCAGTTCCAGGTGCCATTAAACAACTTAAAGAATGAATAGGTTTTGTTTCACGGAACAGAGGTATCTTTGTTGCAAGCAAACTGAATTGTTGAAACAGAACAGAGTTACTTCCCTTTGACAACATATATAAGTCATTATACATATATATATAATATATATATGCTCGTACATGATATACATATTATTAAGACAGAAGTAATATCCATAAAATAATCTCGTTCATGTAAATCTAAATAAACACTGGTTTTGCAGAACATGCTTGAAAGCAACAATATTCAAAATGCTATTTTATGTCTGGCGTATGGGAAAGCACATTAACTATTTACAAAAGAACTTAAAAAAAAACCCAGCATCCACAACACAACTGATGGACACATGAAACAACCTGGGAAAAAACATGTGACATCATAATGATCATTATGCATATTACAATAAAAGAAATATGTACTGGTACTACAATGTACTTATATCACAGCTTTAATAACAGTAACCAAGCAACCATTGTTCTAAGATTTCTATCCTGTTCAAAATGAGTAACAAAATGCATGCACTTAACCGATACTCAAATGCATTATGTTTCTGTACGGATAATAAGCATAATTGTTGAAGCTTGAGACATTAAATGTACAACACATCTGTACAAATCAGATCTTGACTACAGTAGATGAACAAAACATTTGTTTTAGGACTGAATCATTTTTCATACCCCCCCCTGCCTATTTCATGCTACATTGTATTATGCACCCCAACCCCCATTAAAATGAATGACCACACCCAAAATGACTTTTCAATTCATATTTTGTTAATGGACCCAAAAAAAGTTGCCACTTTCTGTGACAAACCCCAATAATACAATAAAACTTTCCAGTCTAATGTTAGGTTTTGATGCAGCTATACATCATTTCGCTACAACTTGCCAAAAAGCCTATAAAAATGTATACTATATAATGGCTTGGTTCAAGTCCGTCAGCTTGGTCATATGAATCAGCTTATCCTGACATGGACAAGGGATGTAACTCCGCATAGCAAAGTGTAGCAGCTTTGACAACCTGTGTCTCAATACCACTGAGACTACCAGGCAATGATAGACAATAACCTGAAAGTCTTCTTCTCCAAATACTTAAACACATAAGAACATCCTCTGAAAAATCTCAGAAGCCACTGGGACACCATCAATAGGAAATACTTCAAGAAGTGACCTTGGTTACAATGTATGTAGTTCAGTCTCTGATAAAGGGGGGCATTATTCAGATCTTGCATATGAAAAAGGAAATAAAGTCTGCAAAATAATTGGAAGCAAGTTGGTCTTTGAACCAATCAATCCCCACCACATGAAATTGTGTAAAAGAGCCTGCGGAGAGATGCAGTTTTTGCATGAAGTTCCCATGTTCTTGTTCTATAAGGTGAAGCTACCATGAGGTCCAGCTATCCAATAACCCCAACGAAAACCCAGTTTCCAAGGTAACAAGTAAAATCAAGATTTTGTGGTTCTAATTACATGACTGTAAATTAGGACATGAGAGATTCAACGAAATCTGAAATCTATCTAGATTTTGAGTAAAGACAAAATATCATGTTTGAGCAGCCTTGAAAGTTAATGGCACTCAGGTAATTGTAACCACAAAATATTGTTTACGGTATGGACATCCTACTAGTACAGATGGGTAAGGACAAGTCCGATGTACAGACCAAAGATGAGGCCACACACGATGAGGACGATGATCCCGACGATGATGCTGATGTTGATCATCTGTTTGGATGACTTGGCAGCCAGGTTTGCAGAAACCATGTCACCGCGAGCCATTGCACATCGAGCCTGTCAACATGAGTGAGTTAAGTTGAATATGCATATTTGTTGCATCGCTGTTCATCAGCTTCTTGTTGGAGGTGAAGCAGGCCTAGGTGTTTACCACTTTAGTGAGACTACACTCACAGGGTTTGGACAACTAAGTGAGGGATGCAATTCAATTGTGGCACCTCAGACACCTTGGATGTAGAGGAGTGACGATACAGAAATTTCATGACACGATACATTATACAATTATAGACTGGTGATGAGGTCAATACCTGTTTTTTTTTGAACCGCCAAAAGCAATATTGACCAAGGTCGAAGTCCGAGGTCAATTGCTTTTCGCGGGTCCATAAAAACAGGTATTGACCTCATCACCAGTTTATAATTGTTTTATTATGTAATTACAAAAAAAAAAGCTGCTAAAAACCAAAACATGTCCATTTAGTCAAGATAATTTTAGTTTCGCTACAAACCACTAACGTTATGTCAACAATACTGTGACATGTAAACAATAGAATGACGTCATAGCTTGACGTCAAAATCTATTTTTAGTAACTCAAGTCAATATGACTTTTAGTCGGACCTGGGTTGGAGTCAACATGCTTTTCTGTCGACGGTCACGTGACCGCCTCTAGACAAATCAGGTAGATGGAAAAATAAGCTTACATAATAAATACTGATATCTTGGATTGATACGATTCGATGCATATCACCAAATGTTATCTTTAGTTATTTTCTCTCAAAAAACATATTTTGATAACAAGTAACAGTGTAAATTTTGACATAACCATCGATTTCTAGTCAAAAATTAACTATTTTAAGGTCAACGATACATATCACGATACGAAAAAAGGTTTTGATGGTTTTATTGTGTATCACGATTATCGATACTACAATATATCGTCAGAGGCTCTACTGGGTCGGACATACATGCTAGCATTAATATCATGGGTTGGACACTGTGTGTCTTTAGGTAACGCCAACAACAACAACAACAATAATAGGCATATGTAGAGCTTGGAAAACTGACCAAAAGAAAGATCAATATTACAATTAACACAACCCTGCAGGTAAAATCTGTTTTACTGATCGAGCAGTGAGACATCAAAGAAAAGATACAAATTATAACTTACCTGAAACAGTATTTCATGCAGAATTATTTATAAAATTCCTTGTCATTGGTGTAAAATAGTAACAAAATGGACTGAAGGGAGAAAACTATACTGACCACCTGAAAAAACTATACATACCCAAAGCATGAGTGAGTGAGTTGAGTTTTATGCCACATTTAGCAATATTCCAGATATATCATGGCAGGGACACCAGAAATGGGCTTCACACATTGTACCCATGTGGGGAATCGAACCCGGGTTTTCGGCATGACGAGCGAACGCTTTAACCACTAGGCTATCCACCGCCCCACATACCCAAAGAGGATGACAATAAGTGAGAAACTACTCAATGTGAATCCTTTTGGGAATATGTACAGATAGTTGTTACTGACATTGGGATGAATATCAGCCTCTGAGGAGGGGGAGGAGACTGATATTTCGTATTTTCTACATGCCAGTGGACAGTGGGAGTTCATTATCCCTCAAGTTGAACCTTAAAATGAAACTCAAGTGTCCATTCTAATACTCACATCGTTAGCTTTCATGATGGCAATGATTCCTGTGGGCCAGAAACAGCACAGGGTGACAAAGATGGCCCCACACATGTGGTCTTGGGGTGGGGTAGTATTCTGACCACCCTGAATCATGGGCTGGGTCTGGATCTGGAAGCATAAGGGTGGCAGTCAACACATGTCAAGATAGAGGCGTGTTGATAGTTGACCTGTGTCAAGATAGAGGCGTGTTGATAGTTGACCTGTGTCAAGATAGAGAGATGTGTTGATTGTTGACCTGTGTCAAGATAGAGATGTGTTGATTGTTGACCTGTGTCAAGATAGAGGCGTGTTGATTGTTGACCTGTGTCAAGATAGAGATGTGTTGATTGTTGACCTGTGTCAAGATAGAGGCTTGTTGATAGTTGACCTGTGTCAAGATAGAGATGTGTTGATTGTTGACCTGTGTCAAGATAGAGGCGTGTTGATAGTTGACCTGTGTCAAGATAGAGAGATGTGTTGATTGTTGACCTGTGTCAAGATAGAGATGTGTTGAAGGTTGACCTGTGTCAAGATAGAGGCGTGTTGATACTTGACCTGTGTCAAGATAGAGAGATGTGTTGATTGTTGACCTGTGTCAAGATAGAGATGTGTTGATTGTTGACCTGTGTCAAGATAGAGATGTGTTGATTGTTGACCTGTGTCAAGATAGAGATGTGTTGATAGTTGACCTGTGTCAAGATAGAGAGATGTGTTGATTGTTGACCTGTGTCAAGATAGAGGCGTGTTGATAGTTGACCTGTGTCAAGATAGAGATGTGTTGATTGTTGACCTGTGTCAAGATAGAGAGATGTGTTGATTGTTGACCTGTGTCAAGATAGAGATGTGTTGATTGTTGACCTGTGTCAAGATAGAGATGTGTTGATAGTTGACCTGTGTCAAGATAGAGAGATGTGTTGATGGTTGACCTGTGTCAAGATAGAGATGTGTTGATTGTTGACCTGTGTCAAGATAGAGGCGTGTTGATAGTTGACCTGTGTCAAGATAGAGATGTGTTGATGGTTGACCTGCGTCCAGATAGAGATGTGTTGATGGTTGACCTGTGTCAAGATAGAGGTGTGTTGGTGGTTGAACTGTATCAAGATAGAGGTGAGGTGAAACTTGGTTTTACGTCGCGCTTGAGAATATTTCGCTCATATGACGACGTGCAGGCGTGTGTATGTGTATGTGCGGCTGCTTGTACTAGCCCAGACTGAAGCTGGTTTTAAAGTGCTAGCCCACTGAGATACCATGCCGCAGTGAAGCATGAATACCCCACTCAGACACGTTATACTGACTCCGAGCTGACCAGTCCTTGTTGTACCCATTAATGCCGAGTGCCAGGCAGGGACCATCAAGATAGAGGCATGTTGGTGGTTCAACTGTATCAAGATAGAGACATGTCGGTGGTTGAACTGTACCAAGATAAGAGGCGTGTTGTGGTTGAACTGTATCAAGATAGAGACGTGTACAACCAGAGGGCATGTTTCGACCTCAACTCTGTTGTGTGCGGACATATCGTCATCCATTTGTGTCAAGATCGTTTAGTTAAGAGTCAAAATCGGGTTTCAATCGACTTGTAGAAATAACAATAAAGAACTGGTAGGTGCCATGAGTGGTGCTCTATGGGCCAATCATCCATGATTATGTTTACATTAAGTTTTAATTGATTGCATGTGATGGTAACGTATTGATCAGCAAAGCAGGCGGGGCTGGTACATCGAAGTGTCTGGCCTTGTCATGATGTACAGTGAAACCTGTCTAAACCGGCACCATACGGGACCGAAATAAAATGCCGGTTTAGACAGTGATGACAGAGCCAATGCCCATTTATTTACTCTCTGACAAGTGTCAGTCACTTGAAAACAGTTACGGCAATCCTCCAGTGTTTATAAAGCATAACCGCGGTAATCCTGCGAGCGTTTGATTCACCATGCAATCACTACTTCCTGATTATCTAGCGTGCCAGGATTATTATTTAGTGTATTGGATTATGGGTCCTTGATTGGACTGCTCATACCCATGCCAGTACAGACAGAGTTAATTACAGTTAAAATTGCTTTTTGGGACCGGAAAGTCATACGGAATAGACAGGTGCCGGATTAGACAATGTTTTAATGATCATAATATCGTTTTAAATTGGCGGGACCAAAGTTTTATGCTGGTTTTGACCGTGTGCCGGATTAGACAGGTGCCGGTGTTGGCAGGTTACACTGTATTGTACCGTGAAGCATTTCGAGTCGGGGTACATCTAAAAACAATAATTTTTTAATCTATAATCCTCACAAAGACACGAGGGCCTGTGGCGTGTGATGGTTGAACTGTATGAAGATAGAGGAATGTGGTGGTTGAACTGTATGAAGATAGAGACATGTGGTGGTTGAACTGTATCAAAATAGATGCATGTGGTGGTTGAACTGTATCAAGATAGAGACATGTGGTGGTTGAACTGTATCAAGACAAAGACATGTAAGTGGTTGAACTGTATCAAGATAGAGGCGTGTTTGTGGTTGAACTGTATCAAGATAGAGGCACGTTGGTGGCTGACCTGTGTCAATATATTGCATTATGTATCGCAATACAGGTATACATTGCATTACTGTCTAGTTCCCAGTACACAGCACCGTATACCTGGATTTGTGCTTTCTAGTGCATTTGTTTTCCTAAGATAGAAATCATATTGAGGTTGTGAAGCTGAACGTTTTTCAATGGCTGACATGATGAGGATCCATGCATTCATCAATCAATTTGGGCTTCCAAAGTTTACTGTGATGTGATATTATGTGAAGGGTTGTTAGATATTCAGACAGAGAGGTATCAGATTCAGTTGGTTGGTTTGTTGTTTTACGCCGGACTCAGCAATATTGCAGCTTTATGGCGGCGGTCTGTAAATAATCTAGTCTGGACAGACAATCAACTGAACAACAGCATTAACATCGATCTACGCAATTGGGATACAAGTCGCCTCTTACGACAAGCATGGGATGATGAAGACTGATTCTAACCCAATCTTCATGGATCTATCGTATTCAGAAAAATATCTGACGCGAATGAGATTGTGAGGAACTAGTACATATAATCAACTTACAACTGTTGTGACATTGTTGCCATACTGCATGACAGGGGGGTTCCCGTAACCCTGCTGGTAAACTGGGTACTGAGTGTAGCCTTGTACAGGCTGCCCCTGGGGTGGGTACCCTGGGTTCATGGGGTACTGGGGTGGCACATCTACCATTGCTTCAGTATAGGTAGGTGGTGCATTTTGAGCTGTAAAACAATATCATATTCAGCATGGGGTGCATTTTGAGCTGTAAAACAATATCATATTCAGCATGGGGTGCATTTTGAGCTGTAAAACAATATCATATTCAGCATGGGGTGCATTTTGAGCTGTAAAACAATATCATATTCAGCATGGGGTGCATTTTGAGCTGTAAAACAATATCATATTCAGCATGGGGTGCATTTTGAGCTGTAAAACAACATCATTGAGAATGTTGATAGTAACACAGAATTAGTAGCCTAAATCTAATACTGTTAAAACTAAAACATGAATATCATCAAGAATAGTGATGTCCAGTTTGAAATACTCTCTTGACAATTAGTATTGCTTGATTTGCTTAAACTACCTGTAAGTTCGGTAAATTGACATCATGTATGATTAATAAATGGAGATTCCAGTGTAAAGAATAAACCATAAGGGATGGTTGTATCATCTGTCATGATGATGACAACAAAAGAATTTAAAACGAAAACTTGTTAAATATCAATTTGTATTTCAGTGACATCAACACCAACAAAGAGCCTGTAACGGCAAGTTTTACATCAATTAATGTACTACACACACACTCTCCATATTATGAACAAAATAGTGTTTTCTGATTGTCAGTATTGTTGCCAAATGATTTGCTGCCCACATCCTCGAATCAAATGTTATCGAGAACAAAATAGTTTTACACACAACGGAGTCATCGTCTCGAATAGTTCTATATGTTATTAGTCGTAACAAGAAATCATTCAATGATCAATACAATAACGATGTATCTCTGTAGTGAGAGTAGAACGTCAAAACATCAAAATATTTTGACATTCTTGTTTGATCAATCTGCTTTGGCAACAGCGACAAATATTAACGAAATTTTAGGTTGACGCACAGACAGAATAATGTCATTAGATAAAGTAATATACCTTCTGCGTGTTTTTCCATTCTGTAACCTGAGATACTTCAATAATAGGTCCGTAAATATGAGAAAACGTGTAACAGCCTCCAAAGCAATAACAAGGTGTCAATTTACCGCCAAAGCGCCACCTGGATATGCTCCACGGGAGATAATTCTCATCTTTGCACCTCGTCATTATTCGCATATATATGAACCTACGCCCTTTCGGACCGCCTCTGCTGGGGATGTATTCGCTCGAGTTGTCATTTCAACAACGATAAACTTGAGTTGTAACACTGTGTATTATTTCTTCCTTGATATAGCAAAATAACATATGTTTTTTCCGAAACAGGAATCAGAAGGTGAAACGACATGCCCGTATAGTCAATGTAGTTTCAGCAGCGGGGGCGGATACAGCTTTTTGAGAAGTGGGGTGGGGGTGCACATTTTCAGGGTTTATTTATCCTTTGGCTTATAGAATGGATTACTGTAAAATATCTATGGCAAAATATTACACAGTGGCAGAATAATCTATATGGAATATTTTGAAAAGGAAATGACGAATTGAAACAACCTAAATCAAAGAAGCACCAGTAAAATCTTGCTCACGAGAGGGGTTCCCGAATACCTTTAGAAGAGGCAAATGCACTTATTTATTCAAGGGTGTGGCCCCCTGGTCGGGTTACACCGGTCTACCCGGACAAAAAGTGAGTGAGTTAATATTTAACGTCACATCGGCAATATTTCAGCCATATCGTGACGAGAACATTTGATATTGAAATGAAATATATGTATATTATAAAAAACCTGCCGACGAAGGACAGTAAAACAACTAGAATATCACAGATATCTATGTAAAACTAGTAATTAAATCTAAAACGTTTTAACTATAGGGGAAAAACAATACAGTTTAAAAATGGGCTATAAATCGCCAACAACTACCCGGACAAAGAGCATGACAGGGCGAAAAATTAATTCTAGGGCCCGTTCTATTGAGCGATCTTAGCGCTAAAATGATTTCAAATTTCATATTTGACAAATGCATGCGATAGTCAAAGCGATATGACCGAGGTGTTGAACGGCGCCCTTCACTCAACAGTTACTCAGATTAAGGGCGTAGTATTCGATTATGACACATACATGTACTATCAATGCATGGTATACGCGAGGCTGACCTGAATTAAGAATACCCCTGACACTGTGTACAAATATGCCTGAGAGAATGACACAGAGTTGGCAATGTACTCTGACAATACTGGAACAACCAGACCATTGGACATTGAGGATATGTTGCCTAAATAATAAAATCTCATATACTTTTCTCCGATCCTACGTCTAAACCACCCTCGCTTCGGAATAATGAAGTTGGTGCATTCAGAATGTATTTCGGACGCCGCTTATATCAGTTTAAATGTAACTGGCGGTAAATAGGGGCTCGAATGAATGAGGTTGGAGTGAACTGTGATGAGTTTCAACTTAATTGAGTGCTACTGAAAAAGAATTATCACATTTTTGTCTTCTACTCAGATAGAAACACGTGTAGTATCTTCAATGGCTTTGACTATCAGTGCCATTATGACGTCATAATCACCTATGACGTCTTGTGTGGAATGCATGTTGTCATGGTGCTGATTGATGACGTCATCACAAAACGGCCACATAAACAAGCATGGCGGCCTTCATAATTATTGAATTTTCACCATAGAAAAATGGACAGATTAACCCTACCGCGGTTACAGAAGACCGTGGACGCGGGGAAATGTCTGCCGGCAGGAGACAGCCTACCATCTTGGTCCCATCTACCATTGGATGCCAAATTCCCCATGGTACCTAACCTTGCTGGAACTCTCACACTGTTTACATCAAAATGCGGAGCTGCAGTAAGTATAAAAGGATACCGGAAGATTTGTCAACGTATTGCCATGAATTGTTATCTGATATTATCATACGTTCATGATCAATAGATGTACTTGTATGTTCGTTTTTAAAATTGCACATAATTATTTTCTGTCGACTAAAACATTTGACTAATTCATGTTTTTGTCTCCAATAATGTTTGTTGTGGCTTTGTTGTCAGTTAAACTGTTCATTGCTTGTACTGTACTGATCTGTTGATCACTTTGTACCTCTGAAAAAAACTGGATCAAATGATCTTTCGGCTTGATTCCCACCCCTAATTACTCAGAAAATAACACCCGAAGGGAAGAAAAGACGATGTGTAGGCGATAAAGTGTATTGAAATGGAATGAGGCTCTGACTATTTCAAACTTGTACAGTGTATTAAATGATGGTACTCTGTAAAGTACCTTTTACGCACCCGTGAAGGTCCGGGTTAGAATATTGGCCTTCAGTAACCCATGCTTGTCGTAAGAGGCGACTAACGGGAAAGGGTGGTCAGGCTCGCTGACTTAGTTGACACATGTCATCGGTTCCCAGTTGCGCAGATCGATGCTCATGTTATTGATCACTGGATTGTCTGGTCCAGACTCGATTATTTACAGACCGCCGCCATATAGCTGGACTATTGCTGAGTGTGGCGTAAAATAAACTCACTCACTCACTCACCTTTTACACACGCATGATAACAATTAACTCATGAATTCATATATTGCAGAAATACCGCCGGAAGTCCAGTTCTGACTTTGACCTCACTGATCCGAATGGCATGTCCATGTCGAGCGAGTACCACCCCTTACATGACCCTCACCTTCGGTCTCACTACAGCGTTTCAAGAATGCGCAGACATCTCGTGCGCAACGGATTTATCACCGAATCTGGAATGGTCATATGTAATTTGAAGGAGTTCAACAAGTACAGGCAGTACCTCCGTAGAATATGTCTGATGGAACTGGTGCGGGAACGGAAGCGAGACACCCTCAGGGTGGGCAAATATACCACATTTCTTCCGATAAATATGTTTTTCTCTCATTGATAAAGAACTGAGTTCAATATTCACGAAAACACCCCACCCCCCACCCCCCACACAGGGGTTTGTAGAGTTTAATGTTCACGCAAATGTTCACGTACACCAGACCCCGGGAAAGTAAATCTTTATAATAGGTACAGACAATTTTTTGGTCTTAACTCTTAAGGTTTGGACCTAGGATAATATTTTGTCTTAAATCGGGGATCACGAACCTTGATCTTTGAGGATGTCTTGAGTGTTAGACCAAATTAAGACCAGGTTCCCCGTTGTGAGAAAAACAGCAGTGTCCCACTGCCTTATAGACCTACTCGTAGAGTCTAAGGGTACATGCATCAACTGAAAACTACATATCAAAACTCAATTTTATTAAATCTGTCTTTCACCGGTTGTTCCAACGCGTCGACACCTACCCTTTGACAACCTTCCTTCTTCCGTGTGTCCAGGAATCAAGCAGCGGGATGGGGATAGGAGAGCGGGCGGCTGATAACGACAGCAGCAGACTGACGTCAAGATTTGCCGAGACCAGACGAAGACATGCGGAGAAGATTGATGCCCAGCGAACTAGGTTAGTGACTGCGTGTTGTCTGGTTCTGTTGTAGGCTTATTGCTGCCTTCAAAGTCTAGTCAAGTTCAGTTGTAGCTTTGTTGCAGTACTGTAAGGTTACGCTTCCGCCTTATACAGTACAACAAGAAATTATTGAGAATTTAAAGATTGTAATTTTATATATATTTTTTTTCTCACTCATTACTCACGTATTAAATGTGAATATTAGCAGAACATAACTCCAGATTCAAAGACAGGTGAACAGTTTGTATTTTGTCAAGTCACCATGGGCAGCAATGCAGGCTTCAATGCGGCGGGGCATACTACTGATCAAAGAAGTTAGAAAGTCGTGGTCCATGCTGTCCCAATATCGGACCACCTCGTCTTTCATTTCAGCAATATTTGTCAGATTTTTCTTATTGACACTTTCCTTCATAAGTCCCCAAACATTTTCTATTGGATGTAGGTCAGGGCTATAGCTTGGGCAATCTAATAATGTAATATTTTGGGTCCGAAACCAGGCCTGTGAATGCTTTGAACGATGTTTTGGGTCGTTGTCCTGCTGGACAATTCAAATATTTCCATAGACCATGTGAGCAGATGGAAGTAAATGTCCCTCGAGAATATCTGTGTACCGCTCACTGTTCCTATTCCCTTCAAATACATAAAGGGGCGTTGCCCCTAACATAGATATGCCACCCCACACGCTAAATTTCGGACTGTACTTTGGACGCTGATACAAAGGTTTTTCAGTTTGTTTGGTCCAGAATTTCAGTGTATTAGGAAACAGCCACACAGAACTTTCATCTGAGAAAATCACATTGTCCCAGTTAAAATTTCTATGCTGTAAGCACCAGTTCAACCTTTGCTCCTTTTGTTCAGGTTTCATGATCGGTGATGGAATTCCTCGACTTTTCTGCCAACCCATTGCACACAGCTCAGTTCTAATTGTCTCTTTACAGACAGCCACAGTTCCTCTATCAGTCATATCCAGCCTTAAGTTTTCTAAACTCCTTCGTTTGTTTTTTAGAAACAAGAATACCAAGCCGCCTCCTGTCACCGACAGTCAATTTTCTGGGCCTGCCTGCGCCTCCCTGGTGCTCAGTGCCATATCCATTTGCAATATTTTTCAAAACACGATAAACAGTGGGCAAAGGGATGCCTGTTCTACTTGAAATCACTTTAGCTGATCTGATGTCCTTGTTATAATACTCTAAAATCAACTTCCTCTTCTCTAAATCATCCATACTGAGGATCACTGAAAATGTCGTCTGCTAGCAAGTAAACAAAGGGGGGATAACTCTTCACAAACTAATGAAAAAGGATGAACGGAGTTGTCTGTCTTGAATGAAACCAAGCACTTGATAGCTGGTCAAGGTTGTTTATACTAGAAATCCAGTTAAACATATTCCTAAAATTCTCAATAATTTCTGGTCATACTATATCTGTCTAGTTTGTTCAATGCCGCCTTACTGAGGGCTAGTCTGTTCAGTTGTAGGTAATATCAGACTGGTCTGGTTCAGTTGTGGCATATAATCCACAGGCCCTCGTGTCTTTGCGAGGATTAAAGATGTTAAAAAAAATAAAACATTTGAGATGACCCCCGACTCGACATGCTTCACAGTACAATACATTATGAGAAGGCCAGACACTTCGGTGTACCCTACCTGCCTGCTTTGCCGATCGCTACGCTACCAACGCATGCAATCGATTAAAACTTAATGTAAACATAATCATGGATGGTTGGCCCATCGAGCACCATTCATGACATCTACCAATTCTTTATTGTTATTTCTGCAAGTCGATTGAAACCCGATTTTGACTCTTAACTAAACGATCTTGACACAAATGGATGACGGTGTGTCCGCACAAAACGGGTGTGTGGTCAAAGCAAGCCCTCTGGTTGGTTGATGCTTGTTTAGGAGACATTTACAACTGATGCTCCCTTTTGAGAAGCCATTGCTCGAAAAATATTGTTACATTAAGCAGTCGATGAAAGAAAAAAATCCCGCGAATTTATAAAGAATTGCAGATTTGTAAGCGTTGACCAATCAGAGGGCTTGCTTCGACCACACCCCCGTTTTGTGCGGACATATCGTCATCCATTTGTGTCAGGGCGTGTCAGCTTGACGTAGGAGGAAAACCCGAAGTGATGCAGGTACTAGACGTTTGATACAAATGGTTTGGTGCTGACAAACCAAGACACAAAGTCTTGAACGCTCAAGGGACGCAAGTCTGCATATCGAACTTCGGTGCCTTTCACTTCTAGGTTTCATGAACCATCCCGAAATGGAAGACTTTTTGGGGTGAATATCGGGTGTTGTGAGGGGTGGTGTATTTACTTCCTGTCATTATAGGGATGGGGCATGGGTGATTGCTTTCACTGGCTGGGTGGTATTGATACAGTGATTATCTGTCACCATGTGATGTGGGTAATTGGGTGAGTTGGTTTCCCAAGCGACGAAGGTTGATAGCACTGTACTTTTAACTATTATTGAAAACAAAAGTGATGTTCACAAATTATTTTCACAAACATTCCCAACAAACCCCCCTGGCTATATTACATTGTACAGTTCTCTATTATCGGTCATTCTGTTGTATATGAAGTATGGACTTTGAATTGTATTTTCTTTAATAGCAATGAAAATACCGACTCTGTGGATTAAAAGCCCGATGCCAGAAACAAATTCCCCTTTTCAGCCTTATACACTTTAAGGAGGGATGTGTGTTCAGATACTGTTACCGCTAATCATTTTACATATACCTGAACATCCTTTTACCCTGCACCTTACCGGACACTGTCATAGTTATAAACTGGTGACAAGTGACGACAAGTGACAAGTTTGTTTCCATATAAAGCCACGCGGACCATAGTGCCGTATATATAATACATGCCCAAAGTGTGTTGCTTCTGCACTTGTATAATAATACATGGATGTTTATCATGGAAGATTTCGTTTCAAGATACATTTTTTATAACTGAAGAATTTACTGTTGACACAATCTGGTATAATTTATTAGTAGAAGGATTACTATAATAATGAGGCTGCAAAAACATTTCTATGCTCGACTGGAAATAAGGACATTCCAAGAGGAAGTGATACTCGTCATCAGTGGAACGTGAATTACAAGTGTACACAGAAACACTTGGGGATCATCATTTTCTTTTTACCGTTTAAACTGCGCTTTCAACTTACGTGATGCACAGCGAAATTTACAATACACACCCAATGAGTCCTAAGAGGAAAATACTTCTATTATATATTTCTCAACGTCCATTATATTTTTAAAATCACAAATTTTAAAACGAAGAATTTGAAATATTATCATGGCAATTCTGCAGCTCTATATCTTTACATATCTGTGAAAACATAGTCAAAAAGGCATTAACATTACTACAATCATGTGTAATCCAAACAGACCGGTTAAAAATAACGACTTACGAATATGAGGAACCAAGTTTTATTTTACCATTATCATGATGAATCAGTAACATATCACAGCAAGCCCTCGGTTATCGAACACTTTCCATATAAATAAGTCTGCACCAATACCCCATGCGCTAACGTACACACATGTAACTTCTGCCTACATCTCCTTACATAGGTTATAACTTGGGAATTGTTTGAAAACACAGTTTGTTCCCGAAAACTATATTTTCCTCTGTTTCGTCAAAGGAATGATTGTTTCCTGGAAATGCTTGATGACCTTTAAATACATGTCATGTGAAAAAATGTTCAGCTCATCCTATCAGAGAAAAAGATGCCGTTTCTACGCGCTACCCAAGGTCGTATTAAGACATTGCTTTTATGTGTTTGGAGAAGCATAATAGATGATTATAACATTGTATTAAACTATTTACGGAATTAGAACTTTGACGTGAAATGTGTTTTCAGGATCACAGATGTTGTGTAACGTTGCAGGCTCTCAAGGTCGACCGACAAGATGAAACATGGTGATAGCTATATTGCGAAATCATTAGGAACCTAATGGTCAACACTTTGTGAAAATCACACCGATTTCTATCTACCTACCTACCTATCTATCTATAGCTTGTAATATAACGAGTAGGCATCAAGAATCATTAGCAATTACTTTAATCAGGAAGGTTTTGTTTTCTGACTAGGAGCCATTTCAAGATACTCATGTGTGTGTGTTTGTGCAATGGAATCGCACGCACGCACGCACACACACACACCACATTAACCCACTTAATAGTAAGCTCCTACCTAACACATGTTGCCTAGGGCCAGCTTGCCTATACATTTATTTACACTGGCAAAGTTATCCGGTAGTTAACGGCTGTCTGGGCTGTGAACTTATCAAGCCAATGCCCAGGCCTTCTGAGAAAGCATCTAAGTGTATTATTACGTATTCGTTATAAATGAAAAAATGTCCGTCAGATACATGGACATGGATGACTATGGACAAAGCTGTGATATTTGGTTATAGACAGGAGATGATGGCAAAGTTGAAGGGCGAACAGATGGAGAGAAAGAGGCGAGAACAGAGAGAACGACATGCGGATATAATGAGGAGAAAACAGTACGAGGATGACAGAAGGAGGGACACACTGCTCAGGAACGCCGAGGAGGTGAGGGTTATTGATGAGGCGGTGATGAAGGAAAGCACCACACATTGTCTTTGGGGTTCCATGTTTTGCTGGAGGACACGATGCATGCAGGGAATATTATCTGCAGTCTGGTACGATACATTCCCTGGACCCACAACAACAACCTATGCAAAATACTCCTCTGTGCGAGAGATGTTCTCTTTAAGACTATCCTGTCATAAACAGGGACGATTGAAATGGTGACGTTACTTTCGAAACGAAGATACATGGATATGTTTGTTTGGCGTGGCGTGGCGTGGCGTGGCATCAGTTGTAAGATTCAATAACAGATTAAAATTTAATAACATTGCTTGCCAAGCGAAAGATATGTTTCACATTCAGGATAGTTTATCAACCCACCTGTGAAATACTGCATATTCCATTACACTCTGTATGTGATAAATAAGTATCACGATAAATTTGATTCAAAGTTTGTTTTCGTTCGAAAGTAAGATAGTATAGGTTTCAAATAAACAGAAAACAGATAACCACTGTAATTACCGTATGCAAAGAAGGTCGCCTGAACGCGTTGGTCTTTTGAGCACGTTTACATTTACAAGACTGCATCGTGCAGTTCAATCACGTTGCCACAAAATATGTCGTTTTTCTGAATATAAAAGCAGATACATTACGTCATTTTAACCAGTTTCTCTTTAACTGCAGACTGAGAGGCGGAACATGATTCTACTGCGGAAATGGCGACGACGAGATCGTGATCATGCTATCAGAATGGAAGCCATGAGGCGACAGAGGGAATCAGAACTCCAGAAAAGGGTAAGGGCTTCACAGGAGTAATTACGCAAGTAAATGAAAATAATATAAAAATCGCAACAGAAACAGATTTCGGGGGTTTATTGTGTAAAGGATTCGATGAGCTATAATACGAATTATGACAGATAAACGTTTTAAAGGGTATAGTTATCTTTGCTAACGTGAATGAAAGTCCGTTTCATTGGGATATTCAGCGATTAGAAGTCTTAGCTAAATCCTTGGGGAATGCGGTAGATGTGTCCCCTGTGTGGTCGAGTTTCCCCGCCGACATGGGTACACCAAGAGGCCGTATTCCCTAAGGAATATTGAATCTGCAACGAAAGAATCCCATCGACGTATTTATCATATTTAATTGATTTGAAAACAAACTGATGGACTCTGTGCATCACGTACATATAAAGTCAGTGATGATGATGATATATATATATATATATATATATTCTGCGACGTCATATAGCTGTAAGGAGCTTTAAAACGGTGCTGTAGCGCGGTACGTGGGCATCCATGATACCTCAACTGATTAATATAATTCCACATGTTAGTTACGGTTAACAAATCGACATCATTCGGGTGAGTGAGTGAGGTGTGTTTAACACCACCTTGAACAGTATTCCTGTTATATTACGGCGTCTCGGCTTGATGTGACAGGAAAGTGGTGAGAGAGTTTAGTTTTACGCCGCATTCAGCAATATTCCAGCTATATGACTGTAAAAAATCGAGTATGGACCAGGCAATCTTGTGATTGACAACTCCAGCATCGGTGTACACCAAGTAAAACTTACCAGTGAATCACAGGTATGCTTGGCCCAGGCTCGTTATGGCGGCCGTTTCATTAAACGTCAATTATTGAGCGTAGTTACTATTCACGTCCATTTTGTCAGAATAAAGATTCGTGGGAAACCAGAAAGCGCGTCCAAAGGGAGAGGCTGGACAGAGAGGCGGTCATCCGGGAACAGCTGAGACTTGCTACAGATAAGGACATCGCTCAACGGAACAGACACCTCGCGAGGCAGAGGGATGGCCAGATGTGTGAGTAGAGACGTGATCCAGTTTATGAATCTCATTATGATCAATGTAGTCAAAACAAAACAAAACGATATTAGAGCTGCGATTTCGGAATCTATTCCAATCAGAAGGGGAATTTTCCAGGGGGACTCCTTCAGTCCTTTGCTTTTTTGTTTGTCTTTAAATCCTCCGAGTTTTCTTCTCAATAGAGAGGATGGTTACCATCCCGGACCTCCTCAGCACAGATCCCCAACACCGCTTACTCATCTCCTGTACATGGATGACATCGAGCTCCTTGCCGAAGGAGATGCCAATTTGAAAGAACGGTTCTCCTTGTCGAGTCCTTTTCTAATGATATTGGCATGACATTTGGACTCGACAAATGTAATACTCTTCATTTGAAACGTGGCAAGGTATTTAATGATGGATCGGTCATATTACTAGGGGGAGGAGTTATTGAGCATCTTGTGGAAGATCAGGCCTACACCTATCTTGGAATGCAAGTTCGAGACAAGCAGCGATGGGAGTAAACCAGGTGAAGTCCTTCACCATGTCTGCCCAGAGTCGGTCTTTTGTGGAGAAGCTTTCTGAGAAACCATTGCATCGTGTGTACATGCAGTGTGTGGCACAGAATAGCAATCCCACCGACTCCTTCGCCTGTATGAAGTCGGCTGGTCTCAAATGTGAAACTGAGGACTTCCTTTTTGCTGCCCAGGACGAGTCACTTCCCACTCGTAATCGCATAAATGTGATTCTGAAGAAAATATCAATACGAAATGCCGCCTTTGCAATGAATTCACAGAGACTGTCCAACACCTTGTTAGTGGATGTCCTTCCTTGGCACAAACATCATATCTGAAAAGACATGATGGCATGGCTCGTTGCTTTTACTACCGTCCCCGTCATGCCTGTGGCTTTGACTCCGAGGTCCATCCACGGTACGACCCTGAACATGTCCAGGGCGTCATGGAAAATGATGCTTTTAAACTTTTGTGGAATATGCCTATATACAGCCTCAGAAGAATTCCAGCCAACAAACCTGATATTGTCCTTTTTGATAAAGCCAATGAATTTATTTATATCATTGAATTTTCTGTCCCTTTTGACAGCAGTGTGATTGGCAAGATTCAGGAAAAGCATGATAAATATGCGGACCTCGCCTTTGAAATGTCTCGCTTGCATCCCAAGAACACTGACGTCAGACTCCCCATTGTTCTCGATGCCTTTGGTTTGGTACCTCCTGATCTCTTGGCGCAGATCAGGAGAGTGACTAGGTTCTCCACCGGGAGCACAGCCCTTCTGACACTCTGGCTGCAGTGTTGAGTCTACATATTCTCCGGAAAGTTCTTGGTGGGTTCGACTAGGCAGCGTTTCCTGGGAGAAGTCCCATCGCTGTCTTGGCTGCATGTAGAGGGGGCGAGGGCCCTGAGCTGATGATGAGCCTTACCAGCCTGACTGTGCCAGGATCACCCGAACCTATCTGCTGCATACTTTCTTTAATCTGTAAAATATAATAATACAGTTTATTTGTAGAGCGCTAGACTCCATGCACAAGTGCATACTCAAAGCGCTACAAAATTTGTTTAGCAGGAATATTCTTTCCGGAACAGAACTGGTTTGAGGTGGGACTTGAAAGAATCTAAACAGGTGGCAGTCCTGAGTTGAACAGGAAGATCATTCCACAGTCGTAAGCCTATGTTTAAGTACGATCACCTTGGTGTTAAGATCGCTTTGTAGAACGGGTCCCAGGTGTGTCAGTTATCAAAACAAAGCGCAACAACTCCTGAGATTCCCATGTGGACTTGGTTCATACATGTATTTGTCAAAAGAGCAGACAAAATTTGATGGGTTTCGAATTTGTTTTCTCTCAAAACCTTTGGATCACGGTCGAAATATATATAATATTCCATACAAATGTGTTATTTCAGCGAAACTTCAACAGCTCAAGGCGTCTGCACGTGCTGCACGTGAAGAACGAAACAGGAGATGCGAGGCTCGCCTGGCCAGAAGAATAGCGGCGGCCGCTCGAAGAGGTAATTCCTTAATGCTGACATACTATGTGGTATTAGATGTAGAGGATACTAAACGACCTTCCGTGTAATACCAATTTTATTAAACGAGTTAATGATTTGGTATCAAAGATCGTTTGATACTAAATCTTTCACGAGTTTAATAAAAATGAGCTAGTTTCAGTTGAATTTGTCATATATATGAAATGAGAAATCATACATTTATCTGCGTTAACTTTCCTTTGGACAGCAGTTACAATTAAAAGAAAGACTTGTTGAAAGTTGTTTTCACAGTATCGCGTAGGGCTAGTAATTTTTGGAAAGGGAAAGGACTAGTGACATACAAAATCCACTAGCCCGGAGAGCCAGTTAAACTTTTTAGAGAGTGTCGATCCCTACTGTTTTAAAATAGAAATATAAAGCGAAGAATGTTCTGGATTTTCCTTTTTTCACTTTGAAAGAAGCTATGCAATGCACAATGGTTGCTCACATATACTGTGATTCAATTTGAAGGTAAAAGAATATTACCAAGTGGACAGATCTCAATAACTGTTCTTTCACAATACATTGCAATACTATCGGAATACAGAAGAGTGTATCGCAATATATCGCAATATGAAATTTGGGGCAATACACAGCCCTATTCCAGACTATGGTGGGTTAGCTTGTCGGTCGCCCATTTATGTTGGAAGACACATCTACAGCTTGTTCAGCTTGACCTGAGCTACTCTACATATGCATGACGCGGGAGGTCAAATAGCACAAATGGCAGATCGGGTTATCTTCATTAAATAAGGGTGCAGAGAATGTTATTCATGTTGCGTTCGTGCGAAGCGTGCATACATAGATTCGTTACAGAACTTGTCCCCGAAAACAACACTTCTGAAAAAAACCCCAATCATGTCATGTTTTAATTGAATTGTCTATACAGTCATATGCTATCTAGTTTGGTTTGCTAAGTTTACAACTTAAAGACAGACGTCAGTTACTTTCACAATCCGATTCACTCTCGCTATCACTCTCTACACCCAGTTCAATTATCACGTTTTCTATTTCATGTTCAACTGCAATATTTCTGTCCCAGTAGTCGCTTTCCAAATTTTTAACATGGGCACAGCAATCAGTCCACTCGTTTACACCAATCATCTGACACAGGTGCACCCCTTCACAATAATAGACCCAACCAGTTGTGACACGGTCACGCAATTCATTAGTGTTCACTTGTTTATTACCGAAGTCATCAAATTGAGTAAATAAACCCAAATCTACTTTGAAACATAGACTGGCTACCCGCCGTCGCCGCATGTAGAACGTAACGTCAAAGCATTGTTCATGACGTCACGTCACCATGACAAAGTGATATTTTGCCCTAGGGCATCGTATGGAAAATATGAACCCCGATATTTTCGCCTCGTAGGAAGTAAAATTACCTTCTTCAGTTGTAAGACTTATTGGGCATTAACAGACCGAATGCTACTAGAAACTGTAACCGTGACGTCTTGACGCCTTGATGGTAACCTTTACTGAGATGTAACCGTGACGTTTTGACATCTTGATGGTAACCTCTACCGATATGTAATTGTGATGTCATGACGCTTGATGGTAACCACTACCGAGATGTAACCGTGACGTCATGACGCTTGATGAGAAGAAGAAATAGAGATTATTATATAGGTAGTATTTTTCCTGTACCACGATTGGTAAAAAGACCGTCACATGATTGACTACAAAACACGATATTGACTTGAGTTTTCTGATAAATTACGATATTGACTTGGGTTACTAAAAATAGACAAGGAATCCCGTACGAAGGGGCTTCCCCCGCTTTTCAGCCAATCAGATCACTCGGATAGATGGCACAGTGTGTGCATTAAAAGTTTATGTTAAAACCCGTTTCTCTTTCATTATATAATAAAACAATTATAGACTCTTGTAAAGGTCGATATCGGTTTTTATTGACCTGAGAAAAACAATATCGGCCTCGCAAGCTCGGTCGATATTGTTTTACTCAGGTCAATAAAAACCAATATCGACCTCTACAAGAGTCTATAATTGTATAATCTCACCCAAGTGTCTACTGATATCAATTATATCAACACGAGTTGATAAAGTTACAAATATCCGAGGCTTGCCGAGGATATTTTTACCTTTATCAACGAGTGTTGATATAATTTATATCAGTAGACACGAGGTTGAGATTCTATTTATCATCCAAAATCATTCTTCATTAGTTTTCAATGAAACATGTACATCTCTCAACACTGTACTACCATTAGACTTGCAGTGCAGCGATGTCATAGCATTGTGACGTCATCAAGTTGATGACGTCATAGCATTGCCAGGGCATTGTACAAAATCTACTGTCAAAACGATATCTCCTAGGAGATATCATATGATCTCACACAAGCGATATCTCCTGTGGAACACAGTTTTGGATGATAAAAAAACTTTATTATCCTGAATGGGAATTTGCTGTACATCATCACAGAGCGCACATATGAATATAGGATAAATAAGATAAATATAAGAGCGTTTCTTACAGGTAAATGTTCTGTAATATTTTTTATCGAACACAGGTTAAAAATATGCGGGTAAAACAGTTATGATAACAACAGTGTAGGGCAAAAGTGTGTTTTATTACACTATACGGTAGTAGAGCGAACTGTATTTCTTAAGTACACATTTGCATGACGTCACACTCAATGACGTCACTGCCATGGTAACCGACGTCACGATGCATGCTCAGTTGTCATCGCCTCGTACAGCCTCCTACAGTAAACTACTCTGTTGCACCTCGTTTCTTGGTTTCCAGTTGCTTCATTCGGCTAACATCACTGGTGGAAACATTGCGTTTATATTTTCGTCAGATATAATGTCTCAGTTCGACTCACAATTAAACAGCGACACGGCAACGTTCGCAATGTTTACATTCCCACAATGCATTTAAGTTGTAGAATGAATGAATATTCACGTGTTTGTTATGAATGAAAAAATAGTTACGTCAGAATGTGACCTAATTGAGAGGTCATCGGTTATCCAATGAAATCGTTAGAATTTCATGTCAAGTCGTTACGACACAGCGCCCCGTTCCTGAAAGCGATCGTAGCGCTAAGGTGATCGTAACTCCCATACTTTAACATAGACTTACGACTGTCGTAGCGCTACGATCGCTTTGAGGAACGGGACCCAGGTCAACGCGATACGACACTCGTGTGACGTACGAGATTAATATGCAACTACCCATACGTTGACCACGTGGGTAATAAAAACTTTATTATCCTGAATGGGAATTTGCTGTACATCATCACAGAGCGCACATATGAATATAGGATAAATAAGATAAATATAAGAGCGTTTCTTACAGGTAAATGTTCTGTAATTATTTTTATCGAACACAGGTTAAAAATATGCGGGTAAAACAGTTATGATAACAACAGTGTACATATACAGGTACGGATAAGATTTGTATGTAAACATATATCATTTATTGCTTAAAAAGCCGATGCTAAACGGGATAAACGATTTCAGGGCTGTTTGATTTAAATTTTGGAATTTTGAAACGTGTGCCAGATGGTAAAAGTTTATATTCTCTGTTTAAAATGTGTGAAGAGTCATGTAAAATTTTACTTGCCAAAGTTAAAACTCTTTCCTCATACACGTAAGCCAAAGGGCCAAAGCCACTTTAAATGGGAACCTCTATCGAGATGTAACCGTGACGTCTTGATGGTAACCACTACCGAGATGTAACCATTACGTCATGACGCTTGATGGTAACCTCTATCGAGATGTAACCGTGACGTCATGACGCTTGATGGTAGCCTCTACCGAGATGTAACCGTGACGTCTTGATGGTAACCTCTACCGAGATGTAACCGTGATGTCATGACGCTTGATGGTAACCTCTACTGAGATGTAACCGTGATGTCATGACGCTTGATGGTAACCTTTACCGAGATGTAACCGTGACGTCATGACGCTTGAAGGAAACCTTTACCGAGATGTAACCGTGATGTCATGACGCTTGATGGTAACCTCTACTGAGATGTAACCGTGATGTCATGACGCTTGATGGTAACCACTATCGAGATGTAACCGTGACGTCATGACGCTTGATGGTAACCTTTACCGAGATGTAACTGTTACGTCATAACGTCTTCATGGTAACCTCTACCATATCTTCTCACATTGAATACAATATCACTTCACCTACAGACCCTGCACTAGTTACAGCTCATGTAAATAACAAACATGTCTCAAACAAACAAGGAAACGACTGGTTTGAAATATTTCTGACAAAACGTCATTAAACTATTGTTTCATTGGCTAAATGCATTACTTAAACAGATAGTTAAATATCCGTTGCTTCACTTCTAGATGTAACTCCCCTTGATACACGTCCTCTATAAGTCATCTGATCACACGAGTGAAAACATCCACCTCGGATATCATTCTAAAAAATGGAATTGGTAACAGGAACTGCCTACAGGCCGCGGTTGGTGCCGTCTAAACGAGTTCATAATGGCCAAACTGAGCTTCCATATACACTGACGCGACGCCCACAGTCTACCTTCTAAATACATTGTCTACGTGTAATCTAAACGTGCCTTTGGCATACTGTCTTTTAGCATAACGGCTGCTTACCGTGGGAAGCTGGGAGACTGGGAGTGTGTTCCCCTGTCATGCCATCTGTTTACCCACTGTGCCTTCACGTGAGAGTTGGTCAGCTGAGCCTGTGTTCGAATCCTTGGTTTGTCAGCACCCTGCTGGTGAACGTGAGTTAACATTAGTTTTACGCCGCTTTTAGCAATATTCCAGCAACATCAAGGCGGTGGACACCAGAAATGGCTTCACATATTGTACCCATGTGATGAAACGAACCCGGGTCTTCGGCGTGACGAACGAACGCTTTAACCACTACGCTACCCCACCGCCCCGCTGGTTAACATGAACATTGTTAACTTCTACTGTTTGTTTCAAGTTTTGTGGGTTATATTGAATATTTGAGACCTGGAATGAATATACTTTGATACCGAGGACCTTGGACGGAGGTTTCAAATGTCAGAATGTCCGCACATGCATACAATCACACATTTTCTGTCCAAGTTATAAAATGCAATCGTTGTGCAATTTGAATTTTAACTGAATTCCTGTTCAAGTGTTAAACCCATATCATTTACTCACTCTGAAGGACCCAACACTATTGTACACACTATGACATAGGCGAATGTTATTACCGTTCCAGACACACACCAGACCACCGTTCAGAACAGACTCATCACCTTTATCAATACTCAACTCACCATTTTTATCAGGGGGTCGTGGAATTACACCTTGACCAGTTCACTTCAGCCAGGCCAGATATAGTTCCGGCCCATGAGTAATTGCTGAATCAAATGAAAGATATTACTCTTTTTACTGACACAAAGATCGTTCTGTCGGCTCAAATGTTCTTTGTTTAGGTGATAACGATTAGAACGAATGGCACAATTTTGAAAGTCGAGCGAAGGAATCTTCGATTAAAGGAAAAAGATACCCAATATAATACCCCTTTTATCGTTATATTTTCATTTTGTTTCTATATTCTACTTACATAACATTTCGCTATAGAGCATAGTGTTGTGTTGCAATAAGCCTCTCTAATTACTGAGTTGCTTTGATGACAGATAGGTAATTTTGAACACTGAAGGACGCATTTGGAAAGATTCAATGTATTTGTTATTACTATGGAAATGACATACTATCTAATCAGAGGTTCGTGGAACAAAATGAAGAATTTTAATTTTTTTTTTTTAAATCAATAAGAACTGCGTAGGTTTATCTAACCACGCCATTGTGCCATAAATCAATACTCCATTACTCGTTTGTGATGTGACAACTACAATGAACGGTGAAAAAACGTTCTTCCGCTTGAACTGACTTTTTGTCAACAATGTTTTTATCTTCAATCGGAATGATGTGCGAGGCACCTTCTACTACAGCTGCGTACCTCGACCGGGATTATGATCAATCGCACCTTGACATAAATACGAAATAGACTTTCATTTCGCTTCTGGCTTGCAATAAACAACATCATATTGATATTCTGCGACATTGGGACATTGATGTCAAGTTCTGTTCATTTTCATATGGTGGTTGTAAAGGTATTGATCGTAACTGCTCGGGAATACATGTCGTGCTGACTAGGCAATAACTAACCTTTACGAAAGCACCGCTGGGTTTTAACCCACTTGGTAATATACTTGCGTTTGCTAAACGTAATGAATTGTGTTTGGATTATGGCTAAAAAATAGGGATTTTGTTTATTGGCAAGTTGTTATTATATGTTATTATGGCATTCCTTTTCATTACTAATATTTAAAACTGAAAGCCGTTTTATGACCGTTCATTATTCTTTCATCAGTATTGTACCAATGGGCGGAATTGTAGAATAGGCCCATTGTGCTTAGTATCGGTCCTAACCTACCTAGAAATAGGGGTTCGGTTAGGCATAATAGCATTGTGTGACCTTGGCCTCGATTAAGGCCGTGTTTTCAACGGTACCGTGAGTGAGTTTAGTTTTACGCGGCATTCAACAATATTCCAGTTATATGGCGGCGGTCTGTAAAAACCTAGTCTGCACCAGACAGTCCAGTGATCAACAGCATGAGCATCGATCTACGCAACTGGGATACGATAAAATGTGTCAATCAAGCCTGACCACCCGATCCCGTTAGTCGCCTCTTACGACAAGCATGGGTTACTGAAGATCAATTTTAACCCGGATCTTCACGGGTATCAGAATAACACAGTTACACATATGACATAAAGCTTCCGTTAAAATACCGTTCATTCGTGAATATCGAAGGGAAAAGAAGGCAGGTCTTTGAAAAAAATGTATTAGTACTTTATCGACAAAAAACCTTGACAATGTTATATTGAATCACGCATGACGGTGCTTTAACAGTTCATTGCAGAAAAATCTGTTGATAAGGTTACAGAAACCTTTCTTACCATAGGTTGGTGTTCAGTTTGTCGATAAGTTTATTTGACCTTATAGATTGAGGTCGAAACGTGCTGTTGGGTATATGTAGAGGGCAAGCGACGCCTCTGAGGACAACCTTCTTACTGTCCTTTTAAAGCTCTTACAGCATAAGTGACCTTTCGCGGTTGATTATTAATTATCCTTTAATTCTCCGATTATCAAACGAGCACGTCAAATCGTATCTGGCCCTGGGAGCGTGAATCGATCGAATCTGCAGTTGCTTTCATTCCAGTAAATCATTGCCTTGGAACTACGGTGACATTTTAAACGTGTCTGTGTATTGTACTTCAAGGACTGCTAATGGGGGCTTGAGATGTTTATGGTTGGAGACAAACCCCTTTAGCTCTCACTTTAGTCACATCATTGTCAAGTCTCGTCCAGTTAAGTCCATGTTACGACATTTCCCGAGAACACCGCTAGGTGGCCACCGTGGAGTCGGCTGGGGGCGACAGTGCCAGTGAGAGTAGGGAGGTTGGACGCCGCGGTACAAACTACTCGCTGCTTTGCCATATATGTAGATATACGTTTGTCGGTGGGAGGAAGGGTGATTGACTTGTGCTTGTGTTTTCCAGCACAACGGAGGTACCGTTCCAAGTGCAACCGGTCGCCTTTCAGGAGCGAATGGACTTTACAGCAAGTTCTCCGTCGGCTTAGTTTTCCGGATCTTGTCTCAGGTAAGTGCGTTGGAGATTGGAAGTTTGTTTTTGGGACATCCGTCTTGCTGGTGGACGAATGTCATTACAAAAGATTGAAGAAATCAGTTGAGGTGAATTTTGTGATTAATTTTGTAATTGATTCTCCAATGCGATGGGGTATGGCCGTATTGCGGCCGTATGGCCGTGGTGGTCTAGTGCAAATATCTTCTCACGTGTACTGTTTACGTCTGGACGGCATGTTCTCGTCAATCTAACCTTATTGTGAAGGAAGGTCGAACTGATTTAACACAAGAACGTACGTCAAAAGTGCAAATTCTTGACGTCAATCGGGAATTGTGGTTTTCTCAGACGGCGGACATGATCAGTGTATTGTTTCCCGAAACGAGATCTCTGTCGAATTAAGAAGTAATAGGTAATACAGAGTGAGTGAGTTTAGTTTTACGCCGCTTTGAGCAATATTCCAGCAATATCACGGCGGTGGACACCAGACATGGGCTTCACACAATGTACCCATGTGGGGAATCGAACCCGGGTCTTTGGCTTGACGAGCGAACGCTTTAACCTCTAGGCTACCCAACCGCCCCAGGTAATAGCGAATATACAGTGATGTGATAAGGTATTGCAACAAACATGGCAGACGTGGCCGGTGTAACATCAATAACATTCCCTAAGTAAATGTCATAGCAAACAAGCAGGTGAAGTTGCTGAATTATGCTAGTACTTGTCGATATATCCCTCCTGAATGAGACCACTGGAATTCCCTTCGGAATTGATCTGTACGAGCTTCGAATATAAACTTGCGGAAGAAAAGTCAAAATCTGCTGCACAGGTCAAATCCCGATGAGAGTTAATGTTTTGACCGTTTCATTTTCGCACATCTCCAGACATTTGCCATGAAATGAATACCCGGGGACTGTGCACGCAAGTCCTATTCGTAGTTTACCAGGCAGTGGTCTGACGTACCATGAACCATCATGAATGATCCAGAAACGTGTCCAAATTCTTTGTGGAGAATAGGCCACAGCTTTGTGTCGGGTATATCAATATTCTTTACTGAGTTTTCGCCTTCGACTGGTACCAATACATTTATCCCATTGCAGCTGACCTTTCAGCACATGCAGACATTCAGTCCTCCGCTTCATTGAGGCTTTTCTCCCAATACAGACCGCCTCCGTGGTGTAGTGGTTAGAGCGTCCGCCCGGAGAGCGGAGGGTTGCGGGTTGGATCCCCGACCGCGTCAAACCAAAAGACGTTAAACTATGGTACTTGTTGGTCCCTGCCTGGCGCTCGGCATTAATGGGTACATCAAGGACTGGTTGGCTCGGAGTCAGTATAATGTGTCTGAGTGGGGTATTCATGCTTCACTGCGGCATGGTATCTCAGTGGGCTAGCACTATAAAACCAGCTTCAGTCTGGGCTAGTACAAGCAGCCGCACATACACATACACACGCATGCACGTCGTCATATGAGCGAAATATTCTCAAGCACGACGTTAAACCCAATTTCACCTCACCTCACCTCCCAATACAAATGTTATTACGTTTTCCAATAACAACCTGTATCCAATTAGTCAACAACACTTTCTACCATCTGTTAATGCCCCATGTCAATTTCTCCCTGCACCACCTGACACGCTTTTGCAGGTTGATTTTCCAATATGTTATACCTATAGATCTTTCCCTGAAAACCTGCAGGCGTTTGTGAACTGCCCGTCTACACAGGGTGGAAGCGCTGTCCCTGCCAAATGTGGAGTTGCCCCAAAAGCTACGCTACCATCGCATGCACAAATGGATGGCGATGTGTCCGCACAAAACGCGGGTGTGGTCGAAGCAAGCCCTTTTGTTGGTTGATCCTTGTTGAGGAGACATTTACACCTGATGCTTTCTTTTGAGAAAACATTGCTCGAAAAATATTCGTACATTAAGCAGTCGATGAAAGGAAAAATTCACGCGAATTTATAAAGAATGTGCAGATTTACAAGCGTTAACCAATCAGTGAGCTTGTTTCGACCACACACCCGTTTTGTGCGGACATATCGTCATCCATTTGTGTCAAGATCGTTTAGTTGAGGGTCAAAATTGGGTTTCAATCGACTTGCAGAATAGCAATAAAGAATTGGTAGATCTTATGAGTGGTAATCGATAGGCCAATCATCCGTGATTATGTTTACATTAAGTTTTAATCGACTGCATGCGATGGTAGCGTAGCGATCGGCAAAGCAGTCGGATAGGGTGCACCGAAGTGTCAGGTTTTGTCATAATGTACTGTGTAGCATTTCGCGTCGGGGGTCATCTCAAAAAAATATTTTTTAAAACTTAATCTTCGCAAAGACACGAGAGCATGTGCTTCCACCCTGTGGTCTAGAGCCATTAGTGTGGTGCACAGATTTAAATTTAGTGGTTATATCTGACAAAGATTGTCGTCTGTTGTTACGTACCTACCGAAACAGTCTCCGATACTTTCTCTGTCCTACCAAATTCGGCTTTTCGCTTCGTTTCCTTTTTTGAAAATCTTTCCTATCAAACACTTATTCAATTCATATGATTCATCTTGCATAAATACTGTCGTGATTTGTTAATTGTTCGATATTGCAACAAGGAATATACCAATGTTTTATGAAAAAATTGAAAAACGAATGAATACATCCATAAATTTGAACGCTGATTTTGTGTGATTTATGACATTTTCCTTTCCATCATCGTAACCATGGTGACAGTTTACTTTTTGTGCTATCTCCCATATTGAATGACAATATCATATAATTTATAGCATTTGGTTTTTGCGCAATTTCAAAATTTGATGTAACTTCTCGATCAGGTTACCTGATAATATAAATGTTTTATAATCCACTCAGCTGCCTCCAGCAGGAAATTGACACCAAGTCTCATAAATGATAATATGAAACCTATTTTTAGAACACGGACTGTTTAACATGAGACGTTGAAACCCATATTTGCACTTGAGGAGAAAAATACATCGTTTAATTAACAGATATATACACAGGAAGAGGGACAATCGTTGCATGCCCTCGCGCTTTTCTGAGTTCGAATCCCATTACAATCCCAATAATGTATATATTTATTTATTATTTCTTTATTTACACTTTTTGGTTACATTTCCATTCATTTCAAAACATATTAATACATATATGTGCATGTAGATGTACACAACAATGAATCCCAATAATTTATACTATTATATTACATTCAATTGTTTTGTTTTGAGGAACCTCACGAATTGTGTGTTTATAACCTCTTTTTTATAAAGCTAGAAGTTATTTTCTTGAGGACGTGACCTGTAATGAAATTGGACGCAAGTAGGAGAATATTATGGGTGTAAATCACAGGGGGTTGTATCGCTTGTGTTTGTGCTGCAGCCCCGTCAGTGACAGTGTGTACGTTGATGCTAGTTTCTATTTGCGATACAAGCTCCTGCGTTTATAACTGACGTACGTCGACGTTAAAGAGTGAGAGTTAAGATCACCTTAGCACTACGACTGTCTTTAGTCCACGTGGTAGTATGAGTTACGATCCCTTTAACTCCGACATAAAGATGACATATCTTAAATGTGAAGTTGCTGTGTCCAATATTTCGATTTCACTGCTTGTCCAATTTAAAAGCAAAAAAAAACCCCAAAAACAACCATCGTTGGAGAAAGATTCTTGGTTTTCTCTGCCATGTAATTAGATACTTTTTTAAAAATATAACCATTTCCCTATTATCTCAACACATTCCGGTAACGCCGTCCGGTGATCAGGCCGGAGCGGATGTCTCATGGCTTAGTTAAGGCCGGATCCACTCTCTTTAGAGAACGAGGCAAATGAGGACCAATACCAGTGGATGATGTCTTGAAAGAATGAGCATTGAATATTCCATATTCATTTCAGTCGATTCTGTACGATGACTGGTTATGTTTCTCACATGTCCTAGAATCCCAACAAAGGTTTTTTAGATTTGTCTAACCGGCAAAATTTAGGATAAACAGGTGAGAATAATTACTTATCTGCCTTTTAGGTTGCCTTCCGATTTTCCTCTTCTATTTTCTCCCATGTTGTCAATAAAAGAAGAAGAAGACTGGTTTCTTTTCTTTTCATTGTTAGGTGAACATTAATTTACAAACATTGCCAATTCGAAGTCAAAGGCATGTTGAATCAAACATGTGTATGCGTATTATGGGAAGTTTATACCACCTTAATACTATTGGTTTCCGTCATTATCCGTGGCACCAACGTTTCACGATATACACTCACGTTCTGAAGAATTCAATAACATCGCTGTGCCTAAAACCATATTTTCTTTATTAGAACCGAAAGGATTTTATAAAGAAACGTATTTATGTGCTGTTGAAAATCCTCGGGATTTGCAGGTTTCCAATTTAGTTAAAACGATTTCCAATCAATCTGACTCATACTCACTTTTGTTACGTTAGTGGTGATGCACCAGATGTGCTATCGGCTCTACCGGAAGCGCTCTTAAAAGCTGCAGCACCTAAAGGTGACAGCTTACTTTCCCCCTGATCTGTTTGATGTGTATGTGTGATGTCGCTCTGGGGCTGTTATTAACGAACATGTAAACCTTTGTGGTGACGGCGGGTTGATGTTAAGAACATCACGGGTTAATTGTCGCGTAATCATCGTTTATATCCGTACGGGACCGAAGTATGCCCATAGAGCAAAACCTTACCGCGGCAATAGTCTGTAAGAGACGGAGATGAACCCAGTTATACAAGTAACTTCGTAGCGCTACGACATTCGTAAGCCTATGATAAACCGATATCGATAGGTCATAACTTTGTGGATCGGAAGGCTTTGTGGATCGGGACCTAGTTATATAAATGCTATGAACCAGTTATATAAATGCTATGAACCAGTTTTTTTAGAAGCAATGAACCAGTTATATAGATGCTAGACGGGACAATTTGAGGACTGAACTCGTAGACTGATGTATCTGTTGGGAATAAATTATCCCCGGTCCTTTTAAAGTACTGTAGACCGTTTGTGATTGAATGTGTTATTAACCTGGCTTAGAGAAGCGTTGTTGGTGTCTGGGTGACGACTCAACGGAAGCTGATGGCCAGTCCAGTTATTTCCATGTTAAGTGAGATGATAAATTGTCAGTGCGTCTAATCTGTTTGTAGTTAAGAGGATCTCTTTAGGAGCTGGATTAGCGGTCGGTGTCATTTGAATTAAATATCGGTTAAGGACTGCAGATAAATAACTTAATTAAGTACGAATCTTGGGAGTGTATCGGAATGGATGAAATGAATATGTCCATGCGTCAAATCTGACACTTTGTGACGATAAATTTCAGTTTTATACCCCGATGTTGTTCCTGCATCATTCACTTCCTCAGCGCCTGATGTAGTTGATGTGTGTGGGGGTGAGGTTGGGTGGGGTAGGGTATGGGGGTAGTTGATGCTGGTCAGTTCTGACAGTTTGCTGTCTAATGCTGCGCCCACAAATATTCTAGATGTATGACCGCGGCCTCTTAATAATCGAGCTTGGACCAGACGAACCAGTGATTAATTTTAAGATAAACGGTTTACTTTGTGATTTTGTATGAAGACTGTATATTTCATCGGCTGCTGATACGATATATGTTGAAACTACGAGACTAAGAGATATTTTAAAAAATCTTTTGAAACAATGTATTTTTGTCCCAGGCGAATTTGGTTTTGTAGAATTTCCTACGCCAGTGGATTCTTCGATAAAATCCTTGCAAGCTGAAAAAAACACATTAAACAGCCACATCTCCATACGTGTCAATATCCATAAATGTCAAAATATTAGGCGCTAATTACAAGTACTCGCGTCAGCAAAATGCAAATAACCTATCATCTTCCTTTTTCCATTAATTACACGCTTTCCTTCCCATTAGAACCGTTACCGTCAGATAGGACAGCTATGTAGAATAGGTATGGAAAAAGCAGTAGTACTAATGAAATTCGTTAATGTCGATCACGATCAGTTTCATAACACAGATGCCAATTACGGGTGTCTTGTCACATTGGTGCAAGCTTTCTCATCGCTACATTAGACAGAACGGTATTGTTTCCTGATAACCCGTTGTGACGGATCCGTCACGCTAACGCGCAGCCATCAAAGATAACATGTTGACGTTGTCCAGTAAACACGTTCACAAGCCACATGAGCGGTATTATTCAATGACGTACACAGATCTCCATGAGTTCGTTGAAAAACACGTTAAAGACTTTATTCAACTTTTACATGACGTAAATGTAACGTGTTGATAGCATTTGAACGTCTTTGATTATTTAGACACTAGCAGGAATTTGCGTGTTAAACTGTTTTATCTGGTTGGGTTGGGTTCGATTCCCCACATGAGGCTCATTTCTAGTGTCACCCACCATTATTTTTTGGGAATATTGCTAAAAACGGCACAAAACCATACTCACATATATCATATGGTCAGTAGAAGTGAGGCTATCATAAACGTTACCGTCATATCTTGACATCGGTAGAATGGTCGATATTAGTCATTTGCGAAAATACTGAAAATCATGTAATATAACAAAGGTTCATTTTACTTACAGCTAAGCTTTTCTATCAAGACTTCAAAGGCCTGGTTAAGTCATCCCAGAAATGTCCTAGTGGACAAACCAAGGGATGTTGTTACGTGATGATTCTAAAGTTGAACCTAAAAGGCTAACCCTAAATAACAGAGCTAATGTTAGGGGATCGGGGCCCCGTTCCTTAAAGCGATCGTAGCGCTACGACAGTCGTAGGTCTATGTTAAAGTATGGGAGTTACGATCATCTTAGCGCTACGATCGCTTTGAGGAACGGGGCCCAGTTCGTGATGGAACTTGGTATGAAACCAACACACAACCTCGCCATGTGATGTAATCAACAGTTGTATTCTAAAACTGACCACTAGGTTCACAAATCAATACAACACTCTACAAAGGTATCACTATGGCAGTACAGGGCCCCGTTTCACAAAGCTCTCCTAAGCCTAAGATCTCGTAACATTTCTCGTAGCATTCGTACCTCCTATGTTACAGTATAGGAGGTACGAATGTTACGAGAAAAGTTACGAGATATTAGGCTTACGAGAGCTTTGAGAAACGGGCCCCAGGTGATTACACCAATAAAGACAGTGACGGCAGTAGTCACATATATACTTAGCAGAATATACAGGTGAATGTGGTCATCGCAGACACTGCTTGACTTCCTGTAACCTGAGATGTAATGTGAGATGAGAGGCAAGAGTTAACTCCCCATATATACCTAAGACAAAGATGCTAGAACATTCTACAAAACTTAATAAGGGAGATGATTCTGAAATCAGCTTCTTGTAGCACTTTCCTGATCTTTCTGTCTAAATGTAGAACAAGTCTAAGTATAGAGCACACCACATCACCCTACTGAATGTCAGTGTATTACTATAATTACGCTTGGAACATTGTTACATAATGAATAACACTGCCACATAACGATATACTTCATATGACTCGTTGCTTGTCGACATACTGCTATACCATAGTCAAACCTTTACGGAGAGGCTTCAGATCTTACTGCCACTGTAAGGCCTAAAAAAGATATGTCTTGTTTCTGGTTTCCGTCCGCGTCAGTTTCAACCCAGCGCGTCAAGCGTATTTTTCCGGATTATAAATGGGCAAAGGGAGTGTGTACGATTAGCTGATCACTTATCAGTATTTTCTGCTGAACTTGAATCATTGAAGCTTGGAATAATTTTTTGAGACCTGTATCGGCGGTCATTCCATTAAATGGAACAAGTAGTTATACTCGGTGGTCTGGTTGACGTCGACAAGGACGTGGATCACTGATGATACTGAAGACACCCAGAAGGCCACATACATGAATACGGTGACGTCAATGGAATGGAATTCATCCGCGATGCGTCTAACGTCCAAAAGGACGCATTAGAACGCATCGCATTTAAGATTCGGGTTGAGTGTGTTTGAAGTAAGAAAACTGTGTTTTCTTGTATGCATCTAGTTTGGCCTGGAAAAACTGCCACAAGATGATTGCCATCCTGAGAAATGTTTTTGCGTCGCAGATTTAGACCCTATTACCAGAGTCACGTCACGCACCACCCCTCCACGTGTGTATCCGCTGAACCTTACACAGTTACTGTAGGATTATTGGTTTTAACTGCTTGTGGCCTTTCTTTCCACTACCTTAATTATACATCTGTATTTGGGAGCACGTTCGGATGGAAATTTGGTTTAAACCGAATTCGCGATTTTTCGACCGTTGAATGTCTCACAGACCCTGGCCTGGGATTCAGACATACATTAATTACTGTCCTGCTGACTGTTGTTCCTGAAGAGGATCATCCGGTTTGTGAAGGACTTGTACTGTCTGCGTGAGGTCTGGAGTCGTTTATTCATTAGCGAATACAACTGAAGTGGAGCCGTCTTGGACGCCGCAGTTTCGACTAAGAGGTGGGTCCCTCATGTGTGCCAGACACCTTAGGTCTCGGGTTCAAATCCTGGTTCTCATTGGGTATGTTTCACTGTCAGCACCATGACCGTGCTGGCTGGTTTAAAGAAACTAGTGAGCATGTTAAACCCGAACCCATTGGCCCATCATCCCACATAACATTGACACGATATGACTGAAATAAACCCAACTCACTCACTCACTCACTCACCATTTGAGTTTGATGAGTTCCAAATGATTTATGTCTGTCGTAAGAACAGAATTTAACAGGTAGTCCCAGTGCTATACGTCCTTGTGTGTCTCCATTACCAGTATGCTCCCTCCGAGCAGTCTTTGTTTCCTCGTTAACACTGAGCGACAGGCATGATCTGTGGCAGCAAGTACGAGCTGTTCACCTCCTTTGGTATGCATCGAGATCGAACCCATGACCCTCCGCTCTCCGGGCAGACACTCTGTCCACAACCCCAACGAAGTGTCTTTTCATGCTGCAAGACAGTGTCTTCAACGTTAGCCCATTTACAGACAGCTACTGAATTCACTGATTGTGCGTTTGATTTGAAAAACGCCAACTCTGTTGCTCAGACACTTAACCAAAGTGACACTTAAACTAAGGACTACATCACGTTGTATGTCCACCTTCGAGACAAGAGGTTGTATGTCCACCTTCGAGACAAGAGGTTGTATGTCCACCTTCGAGACAAGAGGTTGTATGTCCACCTTCGAGACAGGAGTGGTTGCATTCGACATACAACACAATGAAACAATGTCTTATCAATTTAACAATATCTGTTAAGTGTTTACTATTCAAAATTAACATTGTCAATAAAATGAAATAAATGTACACACACACGTTGATAAATAACATCGAATATACAGCATGGTTTCTGAGGTTCGAAGAATGTTGTGCATCAGACCACAGATCTAGTATGGATTCAACCGGAAGCATAGAGTTCCATCTTAAACGATATATCGAGTTGAAGTTCGAGCTAATATGTTTCGATCTGCATGTGTATGACTGCCAAGTGCCCATTACAATATGGTTCGGAGAAAATTGCATTGTTTAATACAAAGAGTTCGAGTTAATAACGGACTAGTCCTTTCATGACAGTTTTTCACGTATGATAAGGTATCCTTCGTCACAAACTATGCTGTTTAGCGATAGGCGTATTTTGAGTCCTAAGTAACGGTAAAGGAGGAAAATGTCTGTTAAGTATAGTCATATTATCCATATATCGATTTACGGACTTTCGATGTATTGATGTTTGATTGAACGTGAAATACCAACGGTGACGCCTTTGCAGACAACGTTCTTATTCTTGTGACAGTGATGGAACATAAGGTCACCCTATATGGCCACACGTCAATATGACCGCCAGACACCAAGAGGTTAATTGTTATACTCTTAACGCATCAATAGCATGACACAGAGTACAATATTTATTCATTTTATCATATGATCCCGTCCACCTTATCAAACGCTGCATCGATCTGTATGCAGCCTTGCCAGTTGTGACTGCACAATGCGCGGTTTGTCGCCTAAATTATCACATACTGATGTAGAGACTAGACAGACTCCGTCTAAACGCTTCCAATTCATACATACATACCACCACCGAGATACTGTGCCTGAAGGGAACAACGGCAACCATCGAGGTGTTCTGATTGGAATCGATCCGAACTCGCGTCAAGGAAACGTAGCGAACGGGAGAATTTTGCGGTACTCGTGACATGTTTGTGGCAAAGGTACAAGAAAGCGTCCAAATCAACCATTGAGAAAGGTAATTCGCCAGTTTGTGACGGACGGGGCAGTCGCATTGAAGACTGTCTTCAATCGGAACTGTTCGGAAGTGCTCGGGCCGTCATCATCTGTGCGGGAGAATTAGTGTCACTTTTGTTGCTGAAAGGGACATTTGGTTTGGTGCGGTGCTAGACAGAACCGTGTGCTCACATGATAGAATTCCTTTGGCGGATTGGCCCGTAGCGGCATTCTATCACTCCTTCATGATCTGATTTGTAGGTGAGTTGTGTACTTATGTTCTTACCATTTGTGGTTGGGGGTAATTTGTGGGTAACCTGGTGTTTGAGACTTTGGGGATATGGGCGTTTGTTTAGATCATGTATTGATGCCATTTTCTACTTGATTTATAATCATGTATATGGTGTTGGGATGAAGGTGCGCGTCATGTTTACGTTTGTGATATTATGTTTCACTGGACATTTCATATGTTTCATCATATATGTTTGAAACCTCTTGACATTTAATTTCATTTGGTCTAAATACCCCGCTGTTTCATATAAGGTGTTGTTGTTATGTTATTGAACAACAACAATTGAACAATTGAATCAATGTTTCATCATTATCCTTTCATCCCAGGCATGCCCTCTTGGGCAGAGGTCTGACGAAACAGTCGGCCATGGGAGTCAGCAATGCTGAACTGCCGCCATACAAAACGTGTAATGCAACGTTACGTCACTGCAGTTGCACAAAGGGTAGACCTGGCTCTCGAGAACCAGACGATACCATTCACACTGCCATTAACAACAATGAGATGTGTTCTCCCATGTGTTGTAATGCGACCACAGAACGTGACTCGTCCACCCCCAAACTGACGACGTTGAGTAAAGCAAGCGTCGCTAAAACGGTCTACCGGACCCCCATTCACCATCCGAGTTGTTGAGGTGAAATGTGGACTTATTATCTGTTAACAGTATACTGTCTTCTTGTGTACAGCTCGGCTTCTAATTGGGCTCAACCCCGAATTATCTATTAGCCGGTTGTGTGTCCAGTGTAGTATCGATTACGTCTAGGAATCAACTGACAATGATTGTCTTGTTGACGTGATGCACATGTTGACGACCGGTCCGCGGCAAGTAAAGGGTATTGTGTTTCATCGTACAGCTGAAATACTGCTGAAACAAATATATGCTCATGATATAGTCACAACTATATAAACGACTCCGCTTTTGGCAGAGATATCTTGTGGATGAGGAAAGGGTTTGGTCGCTTATGTTTCGATGGACACTGAAATGTCTGACAACTTCTTTTCGCGGCATACCTGGGTGCAGCATACCCAATGCGCATAGACGTTGGTTTTCAGCAAGCCATGGCTTTATGTAAGTGTTAATTCTCTGTTATTCACATTGGAAAAAACACCACGTGTCTATCATGCTCCAAAGAAACAGGCAAACAACCAAATTACGAGTTGCGCTTAAATTTGCAGGTGTAAATTGTTGATCATGAGATTGTTAATTTCAGAATAACTATATTCTCACTACACTTAAAGTGAAGCACTTACTTTTATCCTTTCATCTATAACCAAATCAATATTGAAAAATTGTTCTTTCGAATGTAATGATACAGTAACTCACATTGCTACTGGGTGTATGATGCTTTGAAGTTTCGTCAAGGAATTAAATACCATTGATATATACTCCTGATGTAAACATAGCTTCTTAAACACAATATCCTATACAGATCTGGATCTCAAAGCGTCATTTCATGTGTAATGTAATTTAAAAAATTCAGTGGTTTGGATTATGGCGAATGTTAAGCAATCGTGCACGCATAGTTATTTCGCAATCAGGGATAATGTGCCCTAGTGGAAGTCACTTCGTACGTTCTTTGGGAGGATTCCTTCCCGTACAGACAATATTCAGGTAGAAATTCTTTTCACCTTGACAACATGACGGAGTGAAGAAATACCCCCCTATTTTTCCGTGGTGTAATAGGACAGTGGTATATTCCGTTTTTTCATTCACTGAAACTTTTGAAAATTAGGTTATAAAATAATTGGCCAGCCTTGAAAAAGTAAAACCCAAACTTTGTTTCAGACTACCAATATATACCAAAACAATTTGTTCTTTTTTTTCCAAAACGAGCCTTACATTATCCTGCTGTTGCCCTTTGCGGTCAATACAACAGTGACGTATTTTGTATAATGGGAATTCTATTGTAGCAGATTTACGTCACGTCTTACTCTAGGTGTTCCAACCTGTTGATGGCGTCCTTCGGTTGAATGTGGCCAAGTCCAAATAGTCCATTACTTTTAGTGATGAGGTAAATCATGATGATAAAGTAAAACATACAGGTCCTTAAACCATCATGGTCAGGTCTACATAGATGGTCCATGACCTGTGATGAGGTATCAAACAGATTTCTCTGCCAGTCGCCGTGATATGGGGATGCCAAAATTATCATTTTCTGGACTTCAAGGAATGTCCAAATTCGCTATATGGACTATGTCCTTAAATGGTGATGTTTTATGCCAATTTACAGAAGTATAATTCATCACATGTCATTCTGAATTCCAATTTGAATTTCCCCTTACACATGCGGTTTGTCATTCCACGAATAATGAAAACAGAGTGATGATTGGCGTTATAAATCCCCCTTTAGTCCATATCATCAAGCATTTCATACCACGGGCTCACCAGGCACGTCCCCCCATGGGTTAAATAGGAAGCGATTTCACAAAGAGCGATGTAGATTTCAGAGACATTTGCACATTCCAATCTCCATGATTGGATTTAGCGATATTCTGGGGAGTGATGGCGAATTTCAAACGATCGGTAAACTCCCGTCACTCCGCAAAATGACCATTGCTTTCGGGCCTTATTAAATTTGCGGCTTATCTGTCGGAGAGTCACGAAATTACGGTTCGTTGTCAGTTTCCCGTCTCGTCAGTTTCGATCCGTTGTCGCGTGTCATGCAGTTTTACTTCCATTGCCACTACTTTTGAAGTGTGATAGGTCTCCGACGTTGCAGACGCCGAGGTTCTAGGTGGGTGAGCTGCACGGATACCTGATACTGTGGACTATTTACAGATACTTGACAGTTTCGACTATTTACAGAAAGGTCATTTCGCCTCCTCCCACACTCAAGACTGCGCGGGAGGTGACATTTGTTGTGCAATGTTGAGTACACAAGTAAGTTAGCATGATCCGAATTGCTTACATTCGTCTATGTCCGGATTATCAAATTTCCATCTGAACGAATCGTGTTTTCGAGTGGCGTGACTCCTGATGCCAACGTTGTTATTGTTTTATCATCCAGAAAATGGTGTGTGCGGATTATGGGGGTTTCGGGCTGACGAGGTTTCTCTCTCTGTGAGGTCCCGTGCGTGTGTGCGCGCATGCGTTGTCTGTATATGTGGATTATATTCCTTTCTTTGTGTGTGATATACTTATGTGTGATAATCTGAGTTCGAGTGAGTTTAAATACATTGAATTCAATTAATGTCTATGTCAATATATATTGTATCCTACGGGTTATACTGTATCGGTTTCTTCTTGAAGGGACTCAAATATGGTTTGTCTCCAGTTGAAAATCAATACCCCGATGATTCTGTGTAAACAATTCCCGGCTTGTTACTATTTTGTCAGTATCCACTGTAACCATACAGGATCGGAATTATTCAATACCGTAACTCCATGTACTTGAATATGACACGTTTTAATCTCATCAAATCACCAACTCCCACATTACTCATCAGCGTTAATGCTAGATCGATATTCGAATACAAAATCAATTTCTCTTTGAAAGCAGTTACATTTTGCTTCTTGGAAATGATTAGAGATTAGTGGAACTTTTCGGAAACGGTATGCCCGATCTGGACAACTTTGCTCGTTAGGTATCGTTTCCGCGAAGTATTAGGCAGGGTATTACGACAACTTACAGTGCACAGGGAAACGTACCTGCCAAGGTCATTGATCAATACTTCCACATTAGTGTACATTTGCAAAGATTGATTGCGGTCTAATTTTTCACTTTTATATCCTCCCCAGTTTCAGCAGCCTGTTGCGAGATACTGCGATTGCTAGAGATCTGTATTTATGCGAGCAATGCTGATTACAGTCTTCTTGGAGCGGTGTATTTTGTCTGATTACAAGCTCCTTATAGTGGCCATCAATTCTCAGAGCCTCGTTGCCTTCTTAACCCAGCAAATCATTCATTTTATCGTCAAAGAACTCCAAATAACAAACACACAGCAAGAGACGTTTTATTGCATGGAAATGTCATCGGTTTTATACGTATTTGTCCAAGATGATCAAAAAATTTGATTTAACGTTAATTGCCCATTTTCTTTGAGAATAGCTGAAGGTTTTATACAGTTGCCATGGTAACCGTTAATGTAACATGCCAAGTAAATACATGTACGTATGTATCCTAGTGTAAATCGATGGCCTGAATGCGTTATGTAATCTAAATTTCTCCAGTACGGAGATTATCCATAATGACATACGTGTTTAATAACATGGACATCTGGTGCCCAGACAACCTTGGAGAAAAATACGTATTGTTAGTAAACCAAGCTAAAGTGTGGTGCAGATGAAACATGTGTTTAGTCTAATGCAACTGTAGGCCGAGGCAGTTATTGGGGACTCTCTCTCTCTCTCTCTCTATATATATATATATGTGTACGTATGTATGTATGTATGGTGTGTGCGGATAAGGTGTGTGTCCGCCTGTTACATAATATATATATATATGTAAGGAAATCCACAAAATATTGAGAACAAACATGTTTCTAACTTTATATTCAGGTGATCACCGTACTGGAGGTAGGTAAACTTGAAACATGTAAGAGAGAAAGTCGTGTTGTGACATTCTTTTGGTTTTATTTCTTTACTCGTGTACTACTGTGCATTGCTGAACTTTGCCGCTTTATATGTAAATAGTTGCTGATGTTTTCGGACTCTGGTTTCCATGATGTCCTGATATTGCTGGAATATTGGTGCCACTCGCTCAGTGCCACTCGCTCAAGTGGTATTGATAGGTCCATGGTTTGACGTAGTTAATGTTGCGCTTGATAACACGTCTTTGATGTAGCCTTTGCGTAAAGGACTGACAGGAGGAACAAGATCCAATGGCCGTTATCATATTCTGTCTGCCACTGTGCCTTCAAAGAACAATTATATTGATGACAGATCTTACTTCAGCTGTTGGTCTTTCCCCTGCTCTGATCTTTTCAAAATGGCTTTGCTTTATCCGCTATCTGGAAGCCAAAACTCGGTCTG